CAAAACTCAGGGAACATATGTGTAACATATAATATAAAGGTCAAAACTCAGGAAACATATGTGTAACATATAATATAAAGGCCAAAACTCAGGGAAACAAGGAAACAAAGAAGATACATTTCAAATAGCAGGGCAGCTTTGCAGCCACATTAATTAAGTGCAAATGCATCAGTATTGGACAGAGGGACACCTTGTATCTTCAAGATTCAGCACCTACAAGGACACATTATTCCTCAACATCTCCTGCCACCATCTCTTATCACTCTCCTCTGGCTCATTCTCCTGCCACACTGGCTTCCTTGTCAGACTTCAACATCTGAAACAAACACTGTCCTCAGGGTCTTTCACTGGTCTCTCCTTCTGTGTGTATACACTTCTGCAAGGAACATAGTGACTCCCATCCTTTCTTCTTCATGGTCTCTGTTCCCTTCTCACCTTGTTTGTAGATCCTGTATGCAAGCCCAGTAAAAAATAACACTTTATCTACATTATCGTTCTACCTTCTTTCTTTCTCGTCACAGTAGTCCTCTACATCTGACATAGTACGGGGTTTTTGTTTGTTTGTTTTTTTGCTTGTATTCTTTTTCCATCATCAGATTGTAGAGACTTTTCTTTCATAGGATCATTCCTCATGCTTAGGCAGTGCCTGTAACATGTCAAAATTCACTTTATGTTTCTCAAATACACTACATGTTTTCTTATGAATACAATAGAATACATGCCCTCATCCAAAGACTGAAAGTTGGGCAGGAATACCTATTCAGGGATGGCAATGAAATCCCCTAAAAATAAGAATCACACACAAAATTTAGAAATCAACTTCTTTTGGTTGGATGTTACCAGAGCCTGGGGTACTTGTTGGGAGGGAATATTGGGGAAATATTTCTCAATGGATACAAAATTAAAGTTAGACAGGAGGACTAACCTGAGGTCTATTTTACAGCATGGTGACTATTGTTAAACTAATATAGTGGAGGTTAAGTGTCCTCAACACAAAAAAGATGACTATGTACAGATGTTAATAGGCTAAATTTAGCCATCCCATGATGAATACATATTCAAAACATCATCCTGTACAGAATAAATACTATACACACATTTTTGTTTGTCAATGTAAAAATAAACAGTGTATTAAAAACAGAAAATAATTTTATGACTAGTTATAAATGGTACAATTCAGGATTGCGCATACTCGTGGGTGACAGGAACCATTATCATGTTCTTTCTCTCTTTTTTTTTGCTATTCACATCAAAAACATAGAAGCAAGAAATGATACACAAATTTCAGAATTTCTTCTTATAGGATTTTCAGAGAAATTAAAATTGCAATTTTTTCTCTTTGGGCTGTTCCTGTCCATGTACCTGACCACCATGCTTGGGAACCTGCTCATCATCCTGGCCACAATCTCAGACTCCCACCTCCACACCCCTATGTACTTTTTCCTCTCCAATCTGTCCTTTGTAGACATCTGTCTGGTCTCTACCACTGTCCCAAAGATGCTGGTGAACATCCAGACACAGAGTAAGACCATAACCGATGCAGGCTGCGTCACCCAGATGTGCTTCTTTTTATTTCTTGCAACATTAGACATCTTCCTCCTGACTGTAATGGCCTATGACAGGTGTGTGGCCATCTGTCATCCTCTGCACTACAAGGTCATCATGAATCACAAGCTCTGTGGGCTGCTGGTTCTGATATCTTGAATCATGAGTGTCCTGAATTCCTTGTTACAAAGCCTAATGGTGCTGCCACTGTCCTTTTGTACACACTTGGAAATCCACCACTTTTTCTGTGAAATTAATCAGATAATCCACCTTGCCAGTTCTAACATTTTTATTAATGACATGATGATGAATTTTGCAGCGTTGCTGCTGGGTAGTGTAAGACCGGAGGCACCAGAGGGCAGGGCGGGCCTCAACAAGATGGATCCAGGAGAACAATGGGTGAAAG